GATTAATGAGGAGGAGGCTCTTTACACATAAAGATTTAAAGGCCACCTGGCATGCATTCAAAATCCTCCAACAGTCCATTCTGCCGATATATGGACTGAAAGCTTCGACATCATCACATCACCAATAGATATGTCTCGTTCTGACGTTCCGCTTGCCTTTTATGAGTACCCTCTCCCGACACTTCGTTGTGAAGATATTTTCTTCGACTTCACCAATAGACGTGTCTCGTCCAGTCGATTCATTTTGTTTTTAAGAGGACTTTCCTCCGAAAAACCATTTTCGAGGTTTTCACTCTTAAAGTTTTGACATCACCAATAGATATATTTCGTGGAAATTTCGATGGGGTTGCTTTGTCTGCGTATTTGCATATACAGTATGTCCCCGGATTGAGTTTATAATAGGTATGATTGACAAAAAATTTCCGAATTGGAATTTCATATTTTGGGATTCCACCTTGACAACGAAATGTCGGAGGACAAGTACTCATAAAAGGCAATCAATTGGTGATGTCAAAACTTGCAGTGCAAACATCTGCAGAATAGAGTTTCGATGGATTTTGAATGTATGCTCGGCGGCGGCCTTTAAATCTTTATGTGTAAAGAGCCTCCTCCCTATTAATCATCTATCATCGATAGCATGCTACTACCTTACAACCCAACCATTTACTAAGCTATTTCGGTTTAAAAAAATGCGCTTTATCTGCACAAGAGTTGTTCACAATTTATACTTTTTGTTTTTGTGATCATTAATCCATCTCAAGGTATCATTGTAGTTTAAATTGCAGATCTGCTACTTTAAAGTCAAGCTGGCACAAAATTGACAGAACGAATTTGAAAATGAGATTGACACAACAGGAAACTGGACCAATACTGAATTTGATCATTTTAACAATATTCATAAGTAACATCATAATGAAATGGATCTTTAGATATTTCACAAAATCATCCATATTACTTTGCCCAATATTTATTTGATTTTTGCCCTTTGGTCTACATTTGAATGCCTCAAAATGGCATTCGTTTACCAGTATTACGGATCATTTTGTTTAAATGGATGAAATTAAATTAGCTGGAATAAAATAACTAATTTTTTTGGACAAAGACTGTTAACGTTGAAATGCGCTTTTAAATCGTTTACGATTAACTTTTTTTACTTGTAAATAAATAAATAAATTGGTAAATAGTCAGAAATGACCGATCGCGCAAAAACGTATATTAATTCGGTTGACATAAGTTAAATATTGTATTATTATGAATTTTATACAATCTTCTGTGAAAGTAGTGCCACAATATCAAGCAGTATCTGCCATTGAATAATTGTCGACATGTAGCGGCACATTTACTCATTAATTTTAGTATGCGAATTGAAAACGTATTGTCTAAGGAAAAATATTCAAAACCCAATATAGTAGACGCAATTGTGCCAATATTATTGCAGAACGTTATTATCCATTGATAGAAACGACAAGTAAGTGTAGTTCCATTAGCAGTTGTATACATTTGTGTAGGACGTTCACCTTTCAATTCATAGGCATACTATACTAATGCTCATACTCTAAAGTCTAAACTAAAAACTAAAATGACCAGGATGTAGTAAAGAATCACATTATATACTATACCTACAGACTACAGTTGTTTTGCAATTTGTTAAACAAGTAATGGTGTGCATTATGGTAAATAGTCGCAAAGCAAATCTTCCCATCTGCCAGTCTTTGAAACTATTTCAAGACCAATTTCGTTCACCAATAGAGAAGTGAAATGAGATGTTAATCAACAATCTGGGTGTCTATTCCACATCTATTATTATTTAATGAGCGAGAGATTTATTTAGATTGCTCGTATATCTGCAATTATAGGTAGGTGGGTAGGAAATTTAATTCGCTTGTAACATTTTTGTAACAAACAAAGAAATCATCAGTAGGAAATTGCTTTGCTCCTCCACACATAATAAATAACTTAATTAATCACACATTCTTGTGATATAATGGAAGGAAGTGCATTACTGTCAACTTTATTAGTTCATGCAAATTGTATTCACATATGGTACATTTCCTTTTACTGCGATTTGCAATTACTCTTTGTTTCTTTTCAGTTGCATTAATTCTTGACAAGCGTAAGTAGATCGACCACTGACCACTTAAAAAAGAATTACGTAATCTAATATCGAGCAATCGTGCTCCTGATCTAATGAAATGAAGTTTAGTTTTCAATGGTTTAGTCAAATGTGCACCATGTATTTTCTTTATTTTTAAATTCTCAAAAATGACATTTCCGAGTTCATTGCAGGGTGTGCCGCTAAATCACAGCAAATGTCAGGTATATGTAAGATGGACCAAACAAAAATTATTGAGATCGACTTGGAAAGGCAAAAAATTCTTACACCTTCACTGTAGTAGAAGAAAGAAAGCCTTACAATTTTGAATAGGTACGGTTTTTGCACAGTGCGGAGATTGGTTCTACCTAGGGCCTATTTCATGTAGCAACTTGTCACTTGTTACTTTGCAATGTCATAATTTTAAAATGCAATAGTATTTTACATTATTAGCCAGGTAAGTGAGTTTTTACTGGCGATAGGAGAAGAAGACTAGCGAGCCGTTAGGCGAGCTTGTCATCTCCTAGAGCCAGTAAAAACTATTACCTGGCGTATAATGTACAATATTTTATTTGTTACTCATTTCTAAACAATAGTAAACGTAAATAATTAGTTCTTAAATTAATCTTGAAGAAATGTCTAAAATATCATGTTATCCATGTAACAGAGACTTCGCATTAATTCTGGCCAATGAAATTACTAGATTACTAACTTGTAAAATTTTTACAGGTTGCTGTCAGTTTTACAAGTCTGCTGTCAGTTTTACAAGTCAGTAGCGTTTAAACATGACGTTTACCCGTTTGCGTTTTGTCTTGTTAATCAACGTTTACAACTGAGTAACAAATAAAGATTATTATCTACTCATAAAATACTTTAGCCAATGTAGCATTTCGTGTTATTAATCTCTACTTTACATATTTTTAGCGTTATTACGTGTCAAAATAGTATTTAAGGACCCAAATATTATCAAAAAAAGTGACAAGTGAAAAGTTGCAAAGTTGTTTTATGAAATAGGCACCTGGTTTGATGGTCTTTTAAATCTACTCATTGATTTGATTGCATATAGGCAAAACTAATGAGCTCATTTTTGTGTACCTACTTTTAGAGGAGATCTTTCGAATCATCATACTGACTAGTGTTTCACAAATCAACCTTTCGTTTTGCTTGATGACTTTTAGAGCAGTTGTATTTTTTAGCTTGTGGGCAACACAGAAACAAAAAAAAAGCATATTAGCCAGGTAAGTGAGTTTTTACTGGTGATGGGAGAAGTTGGCTGGCGGGCCGTTAAATGACATTTATTTGCTACTGCCAATGTCAACATTGGTAAAGTTCTCTCTCTCACTCATATACCTAATGCTTATTGGGTTTCTTTCTAGCTTATTATAAGTGACACCCACAATAATTTTTTTTCATACCTGTATACTTATATCCATTTTGTACTATTTTAACGCCATCTTTTGGAAAACTTCGGTTTTTAAGTTGTACTCGTGATATTAAATTCGCGCGTATGATATGTACACGTCAATAGACGTCAGCACTATTCTCTCTTGGCTAGCTGCGCGCTCACCTATTTATATCAAACTAAACCGGAACCAACGAAACTTTGGACGCTGGCGTCTATTTTAAACCAACAGCAAAGTAGAAGCTTTCGTTTCTAATGCAATTTTAGTTTCGCTAAAAGGGAACCGCTATATTTTTTAGGTTCGCTGCTATGGTAACAACCCATGTGGTTTAGATGCGTTCGTTTATCGTTTACAGGCCGGAGCTCCCGAAGCTCGTTGTTGCGAAATACGTTCAGATGCAAAAGTTATTTTTTAGTAAATAAAACCATAGTGTAAAGAATAATAAACGAGAAGGTTTGATTTCTTTATACCGTGCTTTGGTCATAAAAATTCAGACTGGTTATAAATAGGCACTTTTTTTGTTTACAATACAAAAATACCTTTTTCGGTCACTTTCGTTCCTGTACGGGTGAATACATGTCCGAATGACGAAACCAAAAAATTAACATATTATTATAAGCTTCCGCTTTGCGCTAAAGAATCGCATACAATTTTCAAAAGTGGAATTTTTCGTCATTCGGCTCACATTTAGAAACAAGTCTTTTAATCCGGGTCATATTCAATAGCAGTGACCCTTGAACTCGTATAAATCGATTGGCGAAGTATTGACACCGCTGTCTCTTATCATTCTCGAGTAAGACGAGGAACAGACGCACGGATAAAACCGTCACATCAGGGAGATTTTCCGAAAAAAAATTTCTGAACAAAATAAGGATTGGCATAAAAAGCTTACAATCGTTTGGGAGAGTGTCTATCGCGTACATACACCGGGTTGGAAAAAAGTTTAATTATAATGTGTAATGGCTTCACTTCGCGTTCACCCATTGAGTCGCGACCGTAACGATTTGACAGTATTTAGTAGATACACATGTGAATTAGTACAATCATTGAATAATATTCAGATTTATTATTCAATGGTACAATCTTTATTGACCCATGCTGTCTGCAATTTTTTACATTGGAACCCTATAGCCGCCGTTCTTACACAAAAAGCTGTTATCAAAGTTGTTTCCGTTTACTGTTAAATATAGTATGTAGTTAAACAGTTAGGTACCTACAAGTCTGTATTCAATAGCCATCATTCATACAGTTGAGGAATCATTAACGATGTTGAACCGTTAATGTTTGTAAATATGTGCAAGATGATTAACATTTTAACAACCGAAATGTCTCATGTCTTGAATTGGCCTCACTTAAACGTCAAAAATATTCAAAGGACCAGACCATAGCTTTACCTATAATTATAAATTAAATTGTGCAATAGAAGTACCTATTACATACACAAATGTACCGTTAGGTGTAACAGTATTTTTAAACATTGATACATTTACTTCTTTTTATTTCAGCAATTGAAGACATTTATTCAAATTCGTACGTGTCACCGAAGTCGGAGGACGAAAGGTTAGGACCGGATTCGTCGGAGTCGCGGGTTGATGTTACATCCGGCCCAAGTGAAATTTATGTATCAGAAAGTAAAACAATGACACATTCCAGTGAAACTAAATTACACACAACAACCAACCGTAGAATAGAGAGATCGGCGGATCCAATTTTATCCCGACCTAGCGGAATAGAAGAGTTGTTGTCATCAAAAAATGTTGCAGACAATTTAGATTCAAATGATGTAGAATTTTCTGGTAGAATTGCTCCGTTCATTCAACCCTCGAAAACGCTAAAAGAATACCAAAAAATGTACTTGCAGCAAACCTCTATTAGTGAATTTTTCAATTCGGGGGAAGTAGAAAGGGCTCCGCAGGCGAAATCTCTTTCACTGACGGAGCCCTTGGAAATGCAGCCCACTGCGACGACAACTCCGAATTTTGCCACACAATCATTGCAGCCACCAAAACCCCGACAGGCTAGCGCAGATATTCAAGATATAATAACGGGAATCGTTAAATTACTAAACGGTAACGTAAATGTTCAAGCCAACACTTCGCCGCCGATGGGCAGACCTTTGCGTCCAGTGAGTACAAGAATTAACAACCGCGGACCACCGCGCATATCGGATGTTCCCATTTTACCACCAGATTTTGATGCCGGCACACCACAACTACCCCTTCCTCCTTTAGGACCTGTACCACCCCCAGTGGGGCCAACAAAGGTTCCAACCCCCTACCCTTTTGATTTTCCTCAAAACACCTCACCCATTCGACCTCATATTTCACTCTTAGAACAAATGAATAGGCCCGGTATGCACAGACCTTTAATTCCCACGTGGAGCCGACCGAATGGACCATCAAATGGCTCTCGCCGTCCAATCAATCCTTACCGAAGACCTAAACCTCCTTTTAAACCCATACCTATACATAAACCGGACGAGGGATCAACAACTTCGACAGAGAAACCAAATGTCAACTCCGATCCCGAATTAGAAACTAACTTTCCAAGTGACGATGGTGATACAACAACTGATCCTGACGGAGACGACTCACTTGAAATGACGACACTAATTTCTACTAACGACGCTGAAGAGTTGGACTACGAAAAAAATAAAGAAAAAAGCAGTTCCAAAATGGAAAAACATACAACTAGACTCCAAAGTAGTAGTGAAGCAATGAGCACGTTATCATCGAATTCTTCTGCTGTTGAAACTTCATCATTAGCAACTGTCGATCCTACAAAAGTGGCAATGCCAAGTATAACTTCTACCACAGAAACTAATATCACACTTACTGAGAACAACACGACTGATTCAATTACTTCAATAGCGACACCAACCCTCGAATCTTCCATACAAGAAGTTTTACAAACTCTCAAAGACGATCTTCTTTCTTCCTCCACTATTAGTACAGATTTATCTCAAATTTCTATTTCCCCAACTCCAACCTTAGACCAATTAGAAAAATTTAATGTCACCACAACGGCAACCCCGACTCTGCCTCTAGGTAAGCACCTCTATTTTACACTTCTGGTAATTATGTGATCGGTTTTAGAAACTACAAATACTACTAGCCAAATACAACCGCTGCACTCATACCGACCGAGACCTGGAATTGTTCTGGATGACACAGAGTACAAACCTGGTGGGAATCGTCGACCTCCAATTATAACCGCCAGGCCGCAGTTGGGAGATATATTCGATATTACGGTTTCCGCAATTCAAGGACCGGGAGGATCTCCGTCGAGAGGTCAGGGAAAGCCTTACGTTGTACCAGGTAATTTAAGTTCCTCACTTTTATAAAAGGCCTAGCAACTCCCATTAAGTACGAAAGCGGACCCTTATTTACTGTAACCCCGACAGATGATTAAATATCCTCTCAATAGGCAATTGTTTTTCGTTTCATACTCATATCCGCCAGCTGATGGTATAGTTTCATTGTTTGATGGCATGTGACATTTTTTCTTCTATATGACGTAACTTTACGACACCTCTGCAGACATTATGCCATCGGACCAAAACGGCTATGGCAAATGTCACTTTTTCTGTGTGATAGTTGCAGCTCTGCCAGCAACCACTTCCAAACAGTTTATGATACTTGGCTTTCACCTCCAGTTTAAGTAAAGACAGTAGCCATTTCGCATTTCTGGAACTTCTATCATGGATGTCACTGAAGCAGAACCCTTTCCTCAACATCATTGACGTGCCAATAGGAATGGTAGTTGACACATTCACAGTCCCTGCTTTAGTTTAGTACCTACCAGTGAACTACGACATACCAAAACTTTGTTTTGTGATAGATAGCTATCCTTTTAACTTGCTCTCCTTTTTAGTGGACATTGACGGTATACAAACGGGCGATGTTATTACAAGCCCCGTAGGCAATGAAGGCTTTGTATCAATTGATGGAAAACGAACTTATCTGAACTTATTCGGCGAATCAACAACGGATGCATCAACCGATACTATCAATATATCTCCCACAACTAGCACACCGGTCATCGGTACTGGCTTTGCAGTACCTCAAGTAGATATTCCAAAACAACCTGAACACAAAACAACCGTTCAGCCGAAGCCTACGCTAAGAAGACCACTATATGGAAGACGTCCCAGTCAGCCATCAGTTAGGTTCGTTTTGTTACCTAAATTACAACGAAATGCTAAAAATATTTTGCAGAATAGACACCTGTATAGTTGGGGACGATTCCACCTGCGACCGAACAAATAATGAGGTATGCAAGACTGAGTTGGGTGTGAGCGCCTGTCACTGTAGTCCAGGACATGCCAGAAGACAGCTACGTGATCCCTGTAGAAAAATTGTATCCATGGTGATGTCGCTCAGAGTGGATCGTTTGTATGAAAGACGCGTGGTTTGGGTGTCCGATTTGGGAAACAAAGGAAGTGATAGTTATCAACAGTTGTCATATGAAACTGAACGTGCCGTAAGTATTAAATAATTTAAGTACAAATATAAACCTATACTTTCTTTGCCTTTCACTGTCCCATTTTCATAAGTTTAGCTATTAATAACTACGAAAGTAACGTTGAGTTATGTTTGTTAGACTTTTTACACTTGATGAATTTTTTCTTCTTTGTACATTATTGAATTCAGGCGTTACATGCAATTAGATTAGATTTGCTGCCAATATTCAAAGATGCGTACCTATGTGTTAGTATAAAGGTAAATGTCCAGTAAACTCTTCATGTTATTATTTTTCGGGTAAATAAGTCCGTTCCAATGTTCCAAAGTCAGTGCAAGATCCCTAGAGTAGGTACGTCTTATGAACAGAATATTGAAATTCATTTACTGGAAGCCGTCACATTTGATTTCTGCAAAAGTATGGGTACTCCTCATTTCTTCAATTAAAACACAGCAAATTCGTTTTCTGGTGTAATATTAATTAACAATATACAATCATCACTTTTTTCAATGCTGTTGTGAATTGACCAATTGGCGAACTGTTGGTATCCGGATGTTTAGTCATAATTGAAATACATCTGTAACATTTCTATTTTTTTGCTCTTAATAAACAATCCAGATATGTACTTACGTTTAATGAAAAACATTTGAAAAAATGAACGTAAAATTGGTTGCATATCTTAAGGGGTATTTGACTGGTATGTTTAAGAATTGAACATAGGAGATTTGTATGTTCAGTGTTAATATTTACGCACATAGATCGTTTAGAAAAAGGACAAAAACTATCTCAAGATGTTTTCTCAACTCAAAGGATACCTAGCAAAGCTATGCTGAACACACATTCATATGCTGCATACGCTGCTTACCCGTCTCATAAGGCCACCATCATATTGTTTAGATTAAAATTTCTTTCTAATATTACAGATGGAATCGGCCATGTCCATGACACCGTTTAGCGATGAATTTTTGGGTATCAAAGTGAACAATATTTACAAGGGAGATCGCTCAGCAAGTCAAAGTGGAGTGTATGTCAACATCACACTACAGCTTGAAGCAAATGGAGATACGTCACGGCCTACAGTACGAAACGATATTCAAAGACATTTATTGGGAGTAATACAAAGACGAAGCAATAACATTGGAAATAGCGCACTATGGGTGGATAGTCCACCTGGTTCCATTTCTAGTCTTCAAGGTATTTAGTACTTGTGTTGCATCTAAGATTCATTTTTATATACACCGCAGTCAATTGCATTTTGAAGAAAGAACCCTATTCCAAAATAGGCATGTTCCAATTTTGCTTGTAATGTTAAACTGTGAAAGAATGATTCTAAGACATAGTATCTTTGGTGGTTTGCTAATGTTTCTAATCTTCTAATCAGATTTGGATGAATGTTCATCTCCAGAACTTCACGACTGCCATTCTCTAGCAGTTTGCATCAACGTATTTGGAGGATTTAAATGCGAGTGTAATGAAGGTTTGAAAGATCCATGGGCGGATCACAAACATCAGGCGGGACGCCATTGTGAACAATGTTCTAGTCAGCACTGTAATAATAGAGGCGAATGTAAATATCACAATGGGCAGGAAGTTTGCACGTAAGATTCACCATAGACACATGAAGGATAATTTCACAGAGAACTATTTGTAGATGCACGGGAAGTTATTATGGATCTCAATGCGAGGTCGATGGAGAAATTTTGGGGGTTGCTATCGGTGCTAGTGTAGCGGCAGTAGTTATTATTGGTCTTACCTTGGCATGCCTGATTATGTGGAGGTAAGTGAATTCCTTTTTTAAGGTGCAGAAAGAGAATTTATAAGAGGGGCTACATTAAAAGGGTTGTTAACAGAAAAATAGGGAACACATCAAACCTCCACATAGCAATTACATTATGTATTGTGATTCAAACTGAAAGCATTAATATTTATAGATCTCTATATAGAGCATCTGCCTGCATAAAGAGGATAACAGAGAAAACCTCCGATTTATTAATATGTGACCAGATTTGATAACAGTTTATTAAAGTAACTTTTGCGGAAATTCCATAGGCTTTAAACACTAATACAAATAAATACCACTTAGCAATCTCTTGTAAATACTAGGCACATTCATTTCATACAAACGTAATACAATGGACATAAATTTTCACTGCCTTAATGCTTTCTTCAGTTCAGTCTTGGGGAAGATGTCTAAGTAAGTGATTCGTTTCAGTCGTCGTTGGAGTAGAGATCAAAAAGCAGGCGTCGGCAGTCCAGTGTTTGGTTACATGACCAACCCAGGCAGTACGATGAAATCACCAGTTGTTGGCGGACCTTATCATGTGACGATGGAAGACAGAATACGATGGGCGCAGATAGCAGACGTGATGGCTCAATCCAACCATTATGCTGTAAGTTAATAATTGCTTAGTACTAACTCTCTATATAGCACTTATTACTATTACTTATATGGGGATTTACTCAAGTGTCGTGGGGACCTATTGAACTTTATAGATTAGATGGTAGAAAGAAACATAGTTATACAGTTATGTACAGTGTGGTCCAATTTCGATGGGATTAAATGGGTAACTTTCTTATCAGCGCAGATAAATGAAAACAAATTAGGTACTTGTGACCTAGCCTTTAATGTTTACTCCATTACCATTGCCAGAAGTAGGCTGCCGTCTTTTTTTCCCTAGAGAGAAAAACTGGAAAATGAAAAATTTGCTGTAATTTCATTATTTTTGAAGTGAGAACAAAATCGCTTTAGCATTATTCACGCAATTTTTAGCGTGGCAATCAATGCCGTCAGTCGTTGGTTTATAGCCCTTGTAGTAACTCGAAGTTGATTTTTTTAAATAGAAATTATAGTTGGCCACGTTTTCAAAAGATTGCTTGTCTTACAAGCTTTCCGAAAATGTACTCGCATAACATGTCAACATATTGTCAATAATAAATTCTCTACAATAAATTTTGTCTGAAAATAAACAAAAAAATAGTCGCCTATGAAAAACACTTGACAGCTGTAGTTTGGTTTTTTGATGTTGCCTAAAACGCCATAAATAATATTATATTTTTAGAAGTTTTTAGAGGCACACTTACATGTGATAGATATATCCAAACATTACAGCACAATTTGGAAGATTTACTCGATATCATTCCTTTGGAAGACGAACAGTTGTTTTTCAACAAGACGGTGCCCCACCTCATAATGCGTTAATTGTTCGAAATTATGTAAATGATCTTGTACCTAATAATTGGATGGGAATGCAGGGTCCAATAAAATGGCTAGCACGTTCATCCGACTTAAACTCATTGGATTTCTTTTTGTGATATTTTTTGAAAAATAAAATTTATAAATATCCTTCTACAACTGAGGAAGAATTACGGGAAAATGTAGAAAGATCGTTTCAAAGAGTTCGACCACTAGAAATCCTGAGTGCAACAAGATGTTTCATAGGCGACTATATTTTAAATTAACTTTGAGTTACAGCGTAGTTATTAAAAGGGTTAGAAACAAACGACTGTCGGCTTTGATTTCTACGTTAAAAAGTATCTGAATAATGTTTTGTTCTATCTTCAAGAATGAAGGAGTTACAGCAAATTTGAAGAATCGGCCATTTTTCAGATTCTCACTCTAGGAGAAAAACAAAAGACGGCAGCTTATTTCTGGCAACCGGTATGGAATAAGCATGAAAAAAGAAATCACGAGTACCTAAGCCGTTTTCGTTTATCTGCGCTAATAAGAGAGTTACACATTTAATCCCATGGAAATTGGACCACACTGTACAATAGTGTACATCCCTCCACCGGCTAGGGACGCGTCTACATCTTTTTAATAATGTACACAAAAAATAGTCACATGAAAATACTCGAGCACATCAGATATTGATAGTGTATATGTCCCACGTGTCTCTGATATTGGAGGTATGTTAATTTGCCGGTATGCATGGTGAGGGAAGGGATCGAAGGGTGGAAAACGGGATTTATTGGAGGGCGTCAGATATTTAGGGTGTTGTATGTATAATTTATGACGCGACCGCCTATAATCTCAGTCAACAGACATTACTTCTGTTGTTCGTGAATAATTTCCTTCTAAAAAAATCCAACGCGCTTGAGAATGTCAAGGTAATGTTTTTTTTGCAAGTTTGCGACCTTCCCACTCCCTTACGTCACGCTCAACTCGTGACATTATTGAAATGCGCACTTTTCAACACGTAGTCAACCCACCTTACTTTAATCTGACGCGCTCGAGTAAATCCCAAAATCCCCTATTAGGCTCCCCTACTATAACTTGAAATAAAGGTCCACTCACACTAACGCGAAAATGCGGGAATGGGAGCCGGATGGAAGTGGGATATATATGTACAGCGGGAAGCGGCAAGTGTGGACAACAATGCGGCGGTTCGCATGCACATCCTGCTGTACATATATGTACATATATCCCGTGTCCGTCCCGCTCCCATTCCCGTTTCCGCAGTTGTAGCGATAAAAGAAAGCAGAAATATTGTTTTGCATCAAATTAACAAAAGTAAACTACGCGAGAGTTTTCTTTTAATCTCAAAAATGACACTCTGAATGTATACAATATAATATAATCAATGATATACCTACATTTCAATGTTGCAGCCTGAACCTGTTCCTCAAGTCACACGGCCATCTTCCGCCATGTTTGGTTATCCAAACCTTTCGGTCATCGGAACAATGCAACGTGGAACATTCCACGGGACCTTACCGCCGGTTCCACTACCACGTTTGGGCTTGCAAGCTCAACTGGCAGCGCGCGCCGCCAGTGTGCAGGGAATGAGGCCATTAGACAATTCAAGTTCCAGCGAAGAGGAAGATAAGGCTGATCTTCTTGGTAGAAATTTCCATGTACCGAGACCTAAAAGTAGAAGTAATGCGTCAATTGCAGTAAGCGCACAATAGACTGTGTAGTAAGCGAGTATTTTAATTTTGCATTTGTTTCAGAATCAAAGTGGAATTTACTATGATGTTGACTATGAGCAGAATGATATTTACAAACAAGGAACCGGAATACCAATGAGTACATACGCGGTCGGCCGGCCTTACTACAGAAGCTAAAGACTTAGTAGTTAAGTTTAATTTTAAAATAAATTTGTAAATAAATTATTTAAAAGCAAGAAATATTTGTTTACTTATATGAAGATATATAGACCTAAGTATGTAATGTTACAACAAAATACAACGTTTTATAGTAAGTATTTAAGATCTTTTTTATGCGGATAGGTACATTAAAGAATTCAAATGTATCTTAAAAGTATTTAGAACGCTTATTTCAGGTGCATTTGGCTAGAACAAAGGAATCGCCCTAAGTAAGTATACCATATCTGCCGTAACAGTTGAAGCTTTGGAAAATGGAGTGCCCCTTAGAAATAGTAAAGGAGTCTTTGTGCTGTAAGTACACAACAAACGCATCTTCTCTTATACACAAAGAGATACTCCAAAATTTCAGATTCAATAGAAACATGTCGGTACTGATAAAAATTGTAATCGTACAGCGTGTATAGTGTCATTATGAAATTACGGTTTCCATTTGTACAGAACTGCATTTCCTTTCATGTAGTGTACTTACAAACATTAAACGATTTATAAAATCCTAACATTAATGTGATCTACTAACCATAAATATAGAAATGTATAGGTACCTACCGTGCATATTTGTAACTTCCATACAAGGATTTTAATTTTTAGTTCTTAAATACTTGTAGATAACTTAATCCTAAAGCTGGATTCACATGCATACGAAATCCGACGATACTGTAATCCGAAAGACGTATGATTGGTCAACAATTTCAAATGTGCTTGACATTTGAAATTGTTGACCAATCATACGCCTTTCGGATTACAGTATCGTCGGATTTCGTACGCATGTGAATCCAGTTTTAAACCAACTTGTACCGACATCGCTTTTAAGGAGGCTACCTACATCTACATCACGCACACTATGATCCCAACGGTAACATACGAAAATGTTTGTCCAATGAAAACTTCGCAACACTATGCGAAGGTAGATGATATAAATACAAAATCTACATTAGAGGTGAACTACATCTCGTAGTAAGGTTTCTACACACGTAATTAGATAGTTAGGCAAAAAAAATGCCGTGTGGTAACCCTGAATTATTTTCCCAAGGCAAGTAATACTAAATCCCCAGCACTATTTGAAAACTTCTTTAAGGTCACAAACCTGTGCTAATAATTCGATCGACTAAAATTCTTGCCTTGGCCCATCTTGCATGGATGCAAGTGGTGATTTTCTGCTGCCTAAATTTCGTAATTTTAGCTATTCACATAACTTGGCAAATGTACTCACGCTTCGTCTGAATATAATGTTCAATCTAAAAGTCTAACAAATTTTTATTGTTTAAATGTTCGTGGAACCTGTGACAATATTGCACTCAACAATTGTGGTCAAGGGAATATTTTGTGGCAAGTACCAGTAGATATACCCCTAAAAAATTTGCTGTGGCTAGCACAGATACCAACCGCACACAGCGCATGCGCGATTCTGTCCTTTTATGTGTAACAAATTTGGTTCCAATCGGTTCAGCCGGAAAGGAGAGTACAGATGGACCGATATCATCGAGATTTTGTTTGATTCGGAAGCGGATCTAAAAAAGCGCCAGAGCACCTCGGTTTGAATCTAGAGGGTTATTGGATTTGACCCATTTTCATTAGGTTTGTTACATGTGGCATATACGTCAACTAGGTATGCAAAGTTTGAATCGGATAAACCTCTCGCCAGGAAAGATTGCCGGTCATAGAACACTTGATCCCGGTCTTCAGTCTATGTTTTTCTAAAGATGCGAGCGACTTCCGGGATAGTATCGTGTCAATGTTGAACAAAAAGACTTTTCGTTCAACATTGGCAATTTGGCATGATCCTATTCCGGAAGTCGCTCGCATCTTAAGAAAAACATAGATTGTAGATCGACACAAGGTGTGCTGTGACCGACAATCTTTCCTGGCGAGAGTTATATATAGGTTCAAGCGGTTACCAGAGACAGAGAGGCGTGACGCCACGGGGTCATTGGATGTTACCCATTATTCAATAGGCATGTAGGTCAACTGTGCAAAGTTTGAAACGAATTTCACCAACTTATAGTCTTGGACGATCACAAAAAAAATTTGGAAACTGTTGACTTCAACAGGGTGGTATATCCGCGCACCACGTCCTAATCGCGCGAGAATACCTACCCCAGAAGTTTTCCATTTTCCAGAAAATTTGTCCGATAAGTATTCTCGCAGGATTAGGGCGTTGTGCGTGGATGCGCTGTACCGAGGCCTACGATACTTATTATTATTATAGTATCGTAGGCCTCGGCTGTACCATCATGTTGAAACCAACAGTTTCCAACTTTTGTTTTTTTTCGTGTGCAGTACATCGTTGTATTCGTAATAAAAAATGCTACACAATACAGTATGTAGTTTTTTTTCGGGTCATATAAAAAAATAAAGTTGATGATTTCTTCGAAACGAAACGTTGCCTTGTATTGAAAATATCTCATCGGTGTCTTGTAGAGCTCAAAAACTGGCAATGAGAAACTGTTTTCTACTGTTTTGTATCTGTTTAAATAACATTACAAAAAAATAAAAACGAAATCGACAAATTTCGGTTTTTCTGGCGTATCTTCGGAAGTAATCCTTATCTTGGACACAGTATATAGTAGTACCGGTACAATAAATGTACCTACATACTTGTTTTTTGTTTGTCAATCAAGGTTGACAAAGATGTTTACGAATAGGAAGGGGCGTTCTTGTTCACTGCGCGAAAGGGTAACCTCATCTTGTAGTGAAGAGATATTATCAGGTAGATTTTTAGAAAGGTACATGTTTAAAAATGACTAAGACGTGGAAATATTAAAAAATCACACTTTTTTAATATCTAAGATCAAAATAGGGATGGGAGGTTCAATGATTTTGTGACAATTACCCCCCCCCCAAGGTTGAAAAACGTCATTGAATCTCCCATCCTATTTTGATCTGTGGATTAAAAAAAATTATGAATATCGCGCTACATAACGTTCATTTTGAAACAAGTAACTTTCTAAAGGTTAACAGTTCACGAGCACGTTTTGGTGACTGTTGGACAGAACGCTCTTTTAATTTACCTACTTATAATAAATACTTTGTTTTGTTTTAATATACCAGGCGTCCAACGACGAGCTGGTTTGATTATTATAACGAAGTACCCGTTTTCCGCTCCGTTTATGACGACACCATATATTTGTGGAGTGGACCAGCTTTGCTCAACACGCGGCATCTACAAACGTTTTAAGTTGGGCGGTTCGTTACTAAGAAATTGTAGTTTCTGAATTTTCTTATCTGTTCTAGGAGACGAGGAGTGAGCTTTGTGTGTTTTGATTTTGTCGAATTGCTTACTTTACCGCCAATAACGCACGTAAGTTTCGTAGTGAATTTATCCGTTTTGCAACCGTTCCTGTAGGAATGTTTAAATTGTTTTTACAGCCCCCTTGCCCTTACCAGGGAAGAAGAGAGAGAATCAATCTTAGTAAGTTTTAGGAACGTTAACCACCGATTAATCGATTTTAGTTTTCTAATGGTATTATACTAAAACAAGTGCAGTCGTGCAGTGTATGAAAAATATCAACGTGATAACAGATTGCGTCGCTTGACCTCACATTTCAAGGAACAAAAGGGTATTGCTGGTCAGCCGAATTTGGAGATTTCATTCCAATTATTTGGATAAGTATAATTAACGGTAATAAGTTGAATGGGTTACAGGTAACAACCTCCGATTAAGTCGAGGTTATATCCGTTAGGTGCACTCTTAAAAAACTTGCATTTTGACATCGGTCCTATTTTTGCGATGTTGGGAAAAGCCGTAATTAATTAAAAACGGTTTAATTTGTTGGAACGTACGCGGGAATTCCAGTATATCCCTACTCGAAATGGACGCTTAGATTAATGTAAAACGCACTATGAAGTAGGATGTTTTGCCTTTTGCGTCTTCGCAAGCTACGTGTTGTAAGTACCGAAACTTTGAGGTTTGCCATTAATTTACTTTTGCAACCGTACCGTACTTAAATCATCGATCTTTTATATTTTAGTGGTTAACCGAAGATGTTTTACTTTTGCATTTTCGTGAACTACGTTTTTAGCGCATTTCCACAAAAATAAAAAAATGCGCTATTGTGGTCACTTTATCCGCCCGTCCGGCTGTCTGCTCGTTCGTTGAAACGCTACTAATTCTTTATCTTAAGAGCTATTGTTCTACTTTTTTCGATATTTGGTTCTTTATGGTGTCGAGGCTTGCACCAAAGAAGGAATTTTTTCTGCGTTTATTGCTAAAAAAAGTTATTGTAAACAAACCAACAAACCGTTTTTTACATGTTCCATAATTTTACACGTTTGCCTTTTATTAACAATCTTAGAGATCGTTTATAATTTTGTATTGCTGTCTGTTGATCTGTCCGTCTGTTCCTTTGTCTGTCTGTCCCTCTATCTGTCCGTGTGAACGATAACTTTGTTTAGAAATGTCCGATCGATTTGACATCTCCGTTAGTTATGAACTGAATTCCATGAAATTCAATAAGGGCATAGCTTTAGCCATATAATACGCAGTGCCAAAAGTTGAGTCGAATCGATTCAAAATTCACAGTGCCCTTTTCGCATCTCGACCATTTATAAACCGAATCGCAAACTTTTCTATTTATAAAAGTATTTGAATGAAATTTGATACACTTGGAATAAATGAAAATCTTACGGCAGTTTCAAAATTTTATTTTACGCATGCGCAGTGCCAACTATTTTTATCTATGAAAGCATTTAAATGAAATTTGATACATAGGATGCTTGAAACAAAGGAAAATCTAACGTTAGTTTCAAAATTTAGATTTGCGCATGCGCAGTTCCAACTTTCGTATTTAAAAAAGCATTGAAATGAAATTCTTGTTATAAACAGAAATTGAAGTAGCACGTCAAAAATGGAATGCACATGTGCAACGCTATCTTTCATATTTGTGGCCGGATTTTTACGATTTTAACAGAAGTTGCATCTTACAAATGAGAAATGAATGCAAGTGGAAATGCGTTTTTTGTAAATCGTTTACGATTACTTTTTAACTTGTTAGATTTTTCCTAGTATCAGACATGTTCATTCAGTGATTTTTCGTAAACTCAGGATCAAAGCGGTTGTTTTCTTACAGCTCCACAAGGGTCTAATGAAGGAAAATAGAAT